ATGAAGAGTATGATCCAAATGATGATTAAGATTTTAAACTTAATCATCATTTGGATCATAATACCCTTTATTTTAATATAAATTTTCTTTATGTTCACGTTTCGTAATTTTGTCTCCTTTTCATTTTAATAAATAATTTCAATGTATTTTTATTTTTATTCAGTAAATACTAATTTAGTACATTTTTTTTAAGTTTTGACGACTTACCATATTTCTCTTCCTAACTAGTTCAGGAAAAACCAAGTTTAAATTAGGAATTATCGTAGATGTGCTCACAATTTTGTGTACATTTGTTTTTTTATAAAGTATGTAGATATTACATTTAAAATACTATCACGTCATTTATGATATTTATACGTAATGTGAATGATTCTCTAGATAATCACGATTTTTATTCACCCGGGAAAACCAATTACAAATGGTCCATTTTTTGTTTGAACAAATAATTTGCAGACTTCCCTTTTCTTTTTCATATTAAAGTTGTACTTTAACCTAAAATGATGAATTCAGACCCACCATGACCATACTTCTGGTTGCATTAAAAAGATCTTTAAAACTTTAAAAGGGCTTTGAACTTTATGTAGCGGATTTCTCGATTTGGTTAAATGTCGCATAATTGGTTTTGCCTGCATAACCACGATATATACACTTTCTATAAAAATCCCATATGACACCGTTGGACTCCCATTCCTTGCATTAACCTCATTTTTGTGATTTTATTAACTCTAAGTACACGGTTTTTGAAAACGGATTTTGAACAAAATAGTAAAACTTTAAAAAAATTTTTGGTCACCCATACAATTAACACCGCACAAAGCGTTGCTTAACCTCTTAGATTAAAACAAAAAAGCTTAAAAAATATTAAATCTAAGCTTAACCTCGATGATGGTTAAAAATGTTTATATTTTCAGATTTTTCCTGTACTTGTTTTTTTCCTTATACATTATTATTTGCCTAATTTCGTAGTTCGAAGTCAATTTGTAAATTGTATAACAATTTTAATGCTGATTTCTTAGAAGCGTCGAAGTATACGTTTTTTGTCTCATAAACGGCCGTACCTTTATTTAAGGTTAACTTAGAAGCTTGGTTAAACAGGGTTAATTTTAAAACACCAACAAAAAACGTGGAGATTGTAACCATATACATACTATATGTATATACAGGGTTAATTTCAAAACACCAACAAGCTCTTAGGGGGTGATTTTACCCATCAACAGGAACAAGTTTTATTATGGGACCAACGTTGAAATCGTGAAAAAAAACTGCTGTTCCATACAAAAGTGCATCAGCTAATCGACCGAAATGTATGAAACAGCTGATTTTTATTCGTGATTTCAGTATGAAATTAATTCAACAGACTAATATGCTGCTACAAAATATGTTGTGTTGTGAAATGTTTAACATAAATAATTAAGAAGTTCTTAATTGTTTTTTTTTTTAATTTCTGTTCTTCTAAATAAAATTATTAAAAGAATTATCTATTACTTATTATTAAGCCCACTCCGCAAAAATATACACCATAATTGGACAATTCAATCCTGACGGGTGAGTAGAAAACAAACTTTTCTATAATTTTCTCTTAGGTTTGATGACTTTAAAACAATATTTTATACAAAATTTTATAAATAGTACACACACTCAATAGTGAGCCCCATAGAACTAAAAAGCACAAGATTCTCGGTCTCATGAGACACAGGCAAAATATGAGACTACAGTCTTCAGCAAATGTGGCAGAATACCGGCAAATTAATAGGCACTTCTCCAATGGACAGTTCCACGACCATAGGTTCTTTAATACCGAGAGGATTTAAAATAGCATAAAAAACAGCAAAGGCACAAAAGTATTCGCGAGAAATCGGTCTATTGCATTGGATGGATAGCGTCAGCTGACGAGACTTAAGACTGAAAATGGTAGTCTCGTCTCCTCGAAGCCAGAGATTTTGAGAGAAATCGAAAGCTTCTTTGGACAGTTATAAACCTCAACACATAAATCTTTGGATGATGATTCGGAAAGAACAGAACTAAATTAACCCGACATTATACCGAAGATATCCCGGAGTCAGCTTATACGAGATTAGTATGACTCTCAAACAACTGAAGAACAATTAGGCGCCCGGAGATGATTCAGCGATCTATCAGCAATTGTTTAATTCCATTATTCACGAAGGCATAACGCCCGAGACATGGCACAGGAACGTGGTGGTGGTAGGTACTTTTTTTTTCAGAAAGGCGATAACACCCTATTAAAAAACTATAGCCCCATCTCGCTGCTGAGCCACGTCTACAAGTTGTTTTCGAGGGTGCTTACGAATTATCTCTTTAATAGGTTAGACGACTTCCAGCCGCACGAACAAAACGGATTCCGAAAAGATTTCTGCACCGTGGACCACATCCACAGCTGCAACAGAAGAATATAACCTGCCATTATGCTTAGCGTTTGTGGACTATGGAAAGCCTTTGATTCGGTGGAGACATGGGGTGTGATGAGATCTTTACAGAGGTGCTATATCGACTATCGCTACATCCAAGCGCTGAAGAATTTGTACGAAAACGCTACCATAACAATCAATATACAAGACCTTTACATTGTCATATGTCATTTCAGTTTTGGCCGGCTTGCCTTAATATGCTTCCGTGGAAAATAAGACACGTTATATTAATTTTTACGATTTTTATAAATATGAGTGAATGATTTTCAAGTCATCCGAATGATAGTTGATTTAGTAATGGTCAGCTACATTTTCAATAGAGAACGTAAATTAAGCTAGCAAACGATTTGACGAAGTTTGGTGAAATTGGGATTAAACATTTTGTCCAATATTTTAAAAGCCAAATGGTCCTAACACGGTCTTAAGCTTTTAATAAAAACCTTTATTATCAGCTATAAAGGTTTTATTACTTACCAAAGTTCACAGTGGTAACACACACAATGCAATAAAATATGTAATTATTTAAATTAAACATTTTAATACAAAAATACAAAATATGCACTGCTTCCTCTGATTCCTGAATTTATTATAACTAGGTATTGAATTAATATCTGCTAGCATACTATATGCGGTTAACGCGCATATAGTATAATAGCAGGAAAATATTCACTTAGGTACTCGTTAAATGTTATATACAGTGTTTATTGTAGGGTTTCAAGCCAGCGGAGCTGATAGCGGAGTACCATACCTTTCAATTTAACCCTCATGTATGTTCTGCGATTTTCGTAGTTTTCGAGTTAGATTAAAAAAAAATTAAAAAAAAAATAGATGTTCCATAACTTCTGACTAATTTTTAAAACTGCCCGACTACATAAGCCTTCTTTAAAATACAAAAAAAGATGTACTATATGGGGCATTATTTGCTGAAATCTGTTCTTGAAGGTGTTGTATCGGAAATCGAGTAATTTTAATATTTTTTAATTTCGTATAATCTTTGCATATTTTGTCAATCTTAAATTTTATTATCCAATTAGTTTAAATGGAGCTCATTCGAAAATAATCATAATCATTTTATGATAAATACTCAATCGAAACTCCTGTTATCTTTCTCCTCAGGTATTGTTATTTTACACTTAAATAAGGAAGTGTCTACGCGTAAGTTGTACATCGAGCGTACGAGAAAGGCCGTAACCCGACGAATACAAGCAGACCAAGAACGTTAAGAGCGGATCCTGATCGTGTCGACATTGTTTTAAAAGAAGTGGCATGCGATCCGTCAACTAGCACCAGTCGGCGCACAGGAATCCGCATGTGGGATTGTGTACACAGATTTATGATTCGAAAGAATAATCCGTATCAACCTCAAACTCAATCACGAGTCCTCAACGTACGAGTAGACACTTTCTTATTTAAGCGTAAAATAAAAATACCTGAGGAGGAGGCGGTTGAGTTGAGTTTGAGTAATTAGTTATCATATAATGATTATTTTCTCCACTCTTTTTTTTTCTCCATTTGCTCCACTTAAACTAAAAGGGATAATAAAACTTAACATTCCACCTTCAATAACAGATTTCAGCAAATAACGTCCCATTTAGTACATCTTTTTTATACTATTTTAATGAAAACTTATGTAGTCGGGCAGTTTTTAAAATTAGTGAGATGGGATGGAACATCTATTTTATTTTAATTGAAAATCCATTCTTTATTATTTTTTAATTAAGTAGATATTGGTGTCGACTCCGGCATGTTTCACTAAACCTAAGCTAAAATTTGGCAACAGCCTATCCTTGTCATTCTTTATACAGAACGTAAAGGAGATACTGATTTAAGTTGAGAGATTCACACAAGAATTTGCGTGCGTATTAGAACTAAGTACCGTGTGAAGCCTCCAACTTGCCTAACACAGATGAACCGAACTCTATTTAAGCTACTAAGCAGCTAAATTGCGATGGGAATGAAGATCCGATGTCGATTTCGAGATAAATCTAACAGAAACTTCTATTTTTCAGGGATAAAAAATATATCTGCCTCTATTCAATCAATAAACTATATATCCGTGTTTCAAAAATCATCCTAATCTGTTCTTGTCTGTTTGCCTGATTGACATACAATCGAACCAACTGATTCCTGACCGACTTGCCCGATAATTTGCTTAAAAACGTCAAAACAGACAAGTTTTCCTTTTATAGAGAATGCGTCATTGCACTGAAGTCCGTCTATTAACAAGGAAACTGTATTGATATGGATCAAAGATATTTGCAATTTGAACTTTATTTTCAACGCCATATAACATGATGTTATGTTATAGATAAAATTGGAATGAAATAGATTGAATTTCGAAATCACTTTTTAAATAATTGTAAATGCGAATGCAACTCTTTACATTCCTTAACATTGTAAAAAACGTTAGTAAACTAATAGGGAAATCCTTAGTCCATGGGTCAAATTCACAATATTTTAATGTCAAAATTATGTGATGGAAAGGCGCTCGAACTCTGTCACGTCAAATATGATTGTTTAGAAAATGACAAGTTTGTTTCCAGGGATACGTACATTCAAGGAAAAATCTACCTTAAGCCGCGTTGACATGCTCAAAGTCAACTTTGAGAAAAGTTGAGTACGGTCCAAGTTCACTTTGATTGGATTCCGACGTCATGGTGCACTTTGATTGCTAGTTTACTCCACAGATTACTATATATGGTTTACACTATCAAAATAACCTTAAAGTAGGTAGTCATCAAAGCTACTTTGTCAAAGCCGACTTTGAGCATGTCAACGCGACTTTATTGTTTTGAAATGGTTTGAAAAAAATTGCCTGATCGTACATACAATACACGGCCATAGCATTATGATGGTCATGGTCACGTCCGTTTGTTGCTCTAAGGTAACAATTAAAATGTATAAAACCTTGGACGAAGAATCCTGCTAAGTATCACATAAATCAATAACTTGATTTAATTCGAAAATTTATCTGTGTCACTATCCGAGTATACTCTATGTTCGTACGTCAGTGAATGTCAAAATTTTAACAAAATTAAAGTGTGAAATGCTATAAAAATTAATTTAAACTATTAAATAACAATGATGGAATACATTTATGTAATATTATGAAATTAAAAAGCATGTAGATAACCAGGAAATGTTAAATAGTGAAAAAGGCACATCAGCCCTTTTCACTAGAATTGATAAAGTGATTCAGGTTTATAACGTCCACATTAAGAATTTTATATCGGACTATTCTTTAAGAGTAACCAACGTAAACAAGAAAATACAGAAAGATATCGAATATAAGGACGGTAGTGCAGGTCCACCAATGAAGAACGTTGCAGAGGTTTCTGTAGATGCAAATCTGAAGAGAGAACCCAATTATTTTCAAAACCGAAAAAACGCAAAACAACAAAACGTGCCTTTAGATAAGAGTAAGAAAAATAAACATATCCAGATAAGTGATAAAAAAAATAATAGATCGATATACTTACATAACATTAAACATCCTAGACAAGAACCAGCAGATGGTTTTTATAAAAAGAAAAAAATACAATTCAGAACATACTCTAATAGAATATTAAATCGACCACATAAAAAAAGAAATAAAGAATTAACTTTTTATACAAAATGCTCGAATGAAGGTTGTGTTAAGCTACATGGTCATGCTAAACGACGCCGCAGTACAGCAAGAGCTGGTGAAAGAATTTCACATATTTGTAGAGCATGTTCTCAAAAACTTATTAACCAATATCGAAAAACAGCTTCCAGATCTGATGAAAAAATATGTAAAAACAATAATTGTAAAGGTGATTTTTGGAACAAACATAAAGACATTACTAACAAAAACGGATTTTCTGGAAATGAATTATTAGAAATAACACCAGTAGTTGAAGTACAAAATCAAGAGGAACAAACTGGAGATCCGTTATTTGAAATCAAAGTCGACAATGTTGATATGTGTGTATTGAATTCATCCGAAATTAAGGACAAGGTTCTAGCTTATGGCAAAAAGAAGAACCTGACTAAATGTATCTGTCCTTCTCATCCTGCACGTCAAAAATATATTCTTGCAAGAGAGGCGTGTGTTAAAGGAAGTTGTTATAGGGCACTTAGGCACAAAAAGATAGACTTTGCGTGTAAATGTTTGAAAAATAAAGTTTGGACTTGTACTGACACATCTTGTAATAAAGCTGGAACAGGACAAATTCCGTCTATTAACACAAAACCTTTGTTTGAGGTACAGGTAAATAAAAATGATATGTGTATCGTGAATACTAAGGAAATACGCAGAAAAATTCAACAACTCAATAGGCGAACAAGAAAACATTGTCGAAATGGAATATGCAAAGATAAATCAAAGGAAAGGAATACTCGTATTGATTGCAGATGTACAAAGAATATAAATATTGATGAATGTGCTGAGAATACTTGCGGTGGAGAAATGGTGAATAAGAAATGTTGCAAGTGTCAACGCAGTAAAAAAGTAAGAGGTGATATTAATATAGCACCAATAAATAATATCGGTTCAAGGTTGTCCAGTTTGTGTTGCCAAATCATTAATAAATCTGAAAACTGGACAAACCACGTTTTTCGAAGAAAACAAAGAAACACAAAAAGATTAGCTATTGAGAACGGTAACGTATGTCAAAATATAACATGTTCACAATCTCACAACATACCCAAAATGGTGAAGCATCATGATCGATCTGGATTTAGGCTCATTATTGGAAATAAATATTTTTCCAAGAATAAATGGTCATCCCCACAAGAACATGGACTAGATGAAGACTGTTGCTCATGTGGCCAAAGAGACAAACCCAAATGGATAGAAACTGTTACTCATGTAACCAAAACCCCAGAGGGACAAATCCAAAAAAGGAAACCTGTGAAAAATAAACGTAAGGTCACCGTAGCCCAACCCCAACACGATAATAAGTCATGTAGGTGTTATTGTGAATGTGAAGAGTATAAGAAAAAACAAAAATCGCAAACGAAAAAAAAGAAAACTCAACCGAAGAAGAAGAAGAAGAAATCTCAAGATCAACACAAAAGAATATCGATGTTAAATAAAGAAAAAAGAAAAGAGTTCATTAAAGAACAGAAGAAAAAGAGAAAACTTGAAGAGAAGCAACGAAAAATTAGAAAAAAGGAAGAGAAAGAAGTTTTACAGGCTCTTGAAAGCCAAGATAAATCGCAACAACCTAATTGCGTTGTGCTTATTATAGGATCTATTTTATCCGCTGGCTTTTTGCCAATAAAGGGGCTTTTGTACGGAATTTTTAAAATCATCACCGATCCCAGAGGAAGTTACTGGTACACAAAAGAAAGATGGCAGGACCGCGAAGGAACAATGATTATGTTGAAAAGATACTTCACTGATGCGTGGCGTTTACGAAAATTAAGAATATGCAAATGTTTACGAAATTCAGAAAATGTGAATATATTGAGTGACACTTTCCAAGAGACGGCACTATATCAAGCATTTGCTGACAAAGGTAAAACTAAAAAAGAACAGGCACAGATAGAATTGGAAAACAAAAAAAGAAAAAAACGTGTTAGGGCGAGGCGTGACTTCGCCATATACGGGTGTCGACATATGCTGTTGACCACACTAAGAAAAGTTCCATGCTTGTGGTTCTACCATATTTTTCCAGATCTTTACCCTCAGTGTTTAGGTTTTCTGACGTTTATGAAGAAATTTACTACATTACTAATGTTTTCATTGGCGTTCGTGTGGTGGACGCCTTGCATTTTATGTTTTGAACTCACACGAGCTCTGTGTTGTTGTTTGCTATGTACTGGTGGATAATCTTGTTTCGCGCAGTGTCGAATAAACGTATTGTCTAATAGTGTTTATTAAATCTTTTTTTTTTATTTCTGTCGAAACAAACCTGTATTATCTTGTTCTATTCAGAGGATAGGTATCCTCAAGTCCTCATAAACACAAGTAAAGGTCTCTTTTGAATGCCTTATTACAAGTGGTATCCAAATCATGCATAAGTATGTTTAACGATTTTGGTAATTTAGGAAATACGTTTTTTTTTTTTACTTTTATCCGACATCAGTTTTTTTACTTTTACTCTCCTATTCTATCAAATGTTTATAAAGCGGACTACTGACATCCCTGCCGCAGACGCAATGTAATGGTGGGGATCACCCTTAATTGCCTCCTTAATTGTGATGTGCGTAGGCAAGCATTTTCATTTGCCATTTTATAAATCGGGCCTAATAAGGAGCGCGAGACCACCTTTGGTCCCTAGATTGTCCCTGCCGCCCTGCACGTTGCCACGTGTGTAGCGCGATCGGGGCAATTTCTCAATCAGTTGGTTGGTAACAGTCACACGGAGAGCACGTATTTCGATCAAGATGACGGCAGATCATAATGAGCATGAAGTTTGATCTCGAGTGATATAAGTATATAAGGACCGGCCCCACGTAATGTGGGTAAAAAAAAAACAAACATAATTTATTTATTATTTTATAATTTTTATTTTTTAAGCATGTTAGTAATTGTATCTACTCGATGTTTAAATCTAAAGAAAATATTACTAGCATTTTTTTTTCTTTAGATTCAAATATCGAGCAGTTACATGCTTAAAATTGAAAATTATAACTTTAATTGCTTTTTCTTCTTTAATACTTGTATAGACTGATATTCATTTGACATTGTGAGTTACCTGCAATGCGAAGAGATGGCGCTGCCCTGCAGCTTATGAAAGGCTAGAAAGAATTCGATACATAATAGTCAGGACCACGGTAGCATAATTGTTCACTGCATTCGCCCGGATAGCGAAGGGTGCGGGTTCAAGTCCCGTCTGCTGCCTGGTCCGCGTGGAATTTTTCCCAGTAATATAAACATTATTTATTTACAATAAATTTCTTTCTGTTGCCGATTCTTCACCCAGTATTTCCTATTTTGCGCTAACACCATAGAAAAAGAAAAAGCCAAGGCCCTACCTACCGATCTTATGATTTTTTGATAACACTGGGACCATCATCACCGCGTGTGTTTAGCTCAACATACTCCATAACACTGAATAGCAGGCATGTGTGTGGAGACCAGCCGATATTACACCGACTGCCGTGCACCCTAGATTGTCCCTGCGGCAGGGATGTCAGTAGGCCGCTTAAGCTACCGAATGTTTCTGGTTATTTTGTTTAAGATTACAAAAAAATATATTAATCCAGTGTCTTATATATAAAAACTTCTTTTTATATATAAGACACTGGCCACTTGTAATTATTTTGAAAACTTCGATTATTTAAAAGTAAAAATACCACTGTTCGATTTTCAAATTTCCCTCCGAAATTTTTCTAGAACCAATTAAATTTTTCTTGTCTCATTAAAAAATGGATCTGCATCGAGAACATTTTCGTGCTATAATTTTAAACATGGCTTAAAACCTGATGAGTCATTTGATCCATTTCGAACTACTTTTATGGATGAAGGACCTTCAATAGCAACTATCTACCGGTGGTGTAGCGAGTTCAAACGCGGTCGTCTTACTTTGGGGGATGAACAAGGGAGTGGTCGTCCTACGACGGCTGTCACCGAAGAAAAAGTGTGCTGGTAGTAAAAAAAACAATTCAAGAAAACAGACAAATTACGTACGAAGAGATTCAGCATAATATACAGATTGGTTCAGGAAGTGTTCACAAGATTTTGCACGAGCACCTTTGCGTAAGGACTTTCCCGCTGGGTGCCGCACAACCTCACCGAAGCTAAGAAGCAGGCCTGTGTAGATTGGTACAGTGATATGATACAAAAATTTGATGCAGGCTCGTCATGGCGCGTTTACGATATTGTGACAGGTGACGAATCCTGGATTTATCAGTACGATCCAGAAACAAAGCGTCAGGCGACAATTTGGCTGTTCCAAAATGTACCAAAGCCTACGAAAGTGAAGCGATCGAGGAGTGCAGGGAATTTTTTATCGCTAGTTTCTTCACTTTTACGGGGTACCTAATTTCAATTCCACTTCGAGACCAAAGCAGCATCAACGCCGAATGCCTGCCAGCAGTTTTTTCTGCAATGATCAACAAGCGACCTAACACCGGGTTCCACGGAGTCCTTCTTCACCACGACAACGCGCCCGCGCACTCTGCGATCAAAACGAAGGACTTCCTGGACTCCACACCAGTCAGTCTTAGGACACCCTCCTTACAGTCCTGATTTGACTCCTTGTGGCTTCTTTTTATTCTCTTAAATAAAAAATCTGCTCAAAAGGGATAGAGTTTTCATCGCCGGAAGAAGCGCTAGCAGCGTTTGAGAAGGCCTTGGTAGAGGTGTCTGCAGAGGACTAGAAATTTTTTTTTTCAAAATTGGTTCAAACTTCAGACGCATGAAAATTTGTATAGAGGCTGGTGGAGAATTCTTTAAAAAGATTTGATAAAAATATTTTTTTCATACAAGTTAGTTTTTTAGTTTCTCAAAACTTTCCGAGTATCCCACGTTTATTATCAGCAGCGTTGAAACCTCAGAATGGTGAAACAGAACCTTAGTCTTATAACTGGCTGGCTAAAATTAAACAAATAATTTTAAAACAAGCTTTATTCCACGTTTTTCGTACAAAATACAAGCTTAGAGGTTCAATTACAAAAATTACTTAATTAAAAAAAAACATCTGTTGATAACAAGGATTGTATACTGTAATTTGTCTCTTTTCCCTTTCTCAACCATGCATGTAAAGTTTTATTGGTAACTCTGCTGCAACTAGGTACATACCTTCAGCAGTTATTTGATTCATATGTAGAACATATAAAAAAAATAGGTTTGTAGTAAGTGAAGTCTGCCGACATAGTGGACTAATTATAACATCGCATGAAAAATCACACATAAGATTACATTCAATAAGTTCTTTTTTTACTTTGTAGACTTAATATATGTATTAAAGATTCCTTTACTCCTTCGATTTTTAAATTATTGTTTTCGTTGTTGACGAAGTTTTAAGTAATGTGATGTCTTAGATGTTTCTATTGGATCCAGGGTAAATCTTATAATTTATTACTGGGTTCAAATCTTTTTCAATATTATTGAATTTTGATACCTATTTATTCATATTGCTATTTTTTTTATTTCCTTTTCTTTTTTTATTTTATATTTACTTATGTAGTTTTTATTTGAATTTATCCTAATACAAGGGTCATCACTTAAACTGGGTTGTATTTTTTGCTATTACTTACTGGCATACTTTTAAGATTTGATACAAATATGATTGATGATGATTTACCTTGTGTTTTATTCAACTCTTGCGATTAAGTTGGAGCTGGATCAAATGGGTGAAAACAAAAACATCCGCTAAAAACATCTGATAAAGATGTACAACTTTTCTGTTCAGCACTTTTGTAATTCTTTTGTTTATTATCAAATTTTAAAGAACTTCCATCTTTGCAATCAAGAGTTACAGCTTTTTGAATTTTACCGCACATAACACACATTTTATTTCTGCTTGGGACATCTAGGTAAGAAGGTATACAAATCATTTTCATGCCTAGGGTATTTTCTTCGAACTGTTTAGGAGTTTGAGTAAAATTTAAAGTTGACGTATCGTGGATTGTATCCGTGGTCGATAGATTTGATGGAATGCATATTCCATCTGTTCTGGATAATTTACAATGATCAACATGTTCAACACTATTCTTACAACAACACATATTGGATATATTATTATATTTATTTAATACTTTTATTCTTGTTGCCTTATCTTTTGTTTTTGGTGCCTTGAAAATTAAATCTCCATTCTTATTTAATTTATTTTTATTTTCCGCGTTGCTTCTTTTTAAGAGCTTAATGGTACAAAAACAGCGTTTTTGTGATGGTATTGTTACCACTCCTTTTTCATTAGTAGCTATGTATGCTCGAGTTTTTTTATTTAATCTTTTCCGTACACCAGAACATTGAATTGCATATTCTCTCACCGAAACGGAACGCATTTTTTTATTTTTCTTTCTTGAATTGTTTTGAAAATTATGTGCATTTAGAGTCCAATTTCTGTTAATTTTCGGTTTGTAAAGTTTAATATTAAAACTAGCTCTAGAGCCCACCCTTATTGTACCTTTACGTCCCGATATGTTCTGGTTGTTCCATTTACGTTTATGATTGTTTTTCTGTCTATCAGATAAATGCTCAGAAATATATGATTGCATTTTATGAAATTTCATGTATAACTTGGATGTTCCACATGATAAGCATTGCAGTTTTGAACTTGTATTGAATATTTCTTTTCCTGTTATATGCTTAACAGAATTGTCAGCCTTGTTAAGAATGTAGGTGCACTGACAAATCTGAGATTTGAGCTTTTTATTTGAATTAGATTTTTTTTTGTTTACTTTGTATTTTGAGTGTCCTTTTCTACTTTTTCTCAAAAATGAAAATGTGCGTAAACATTTTTTTAACAATAACCCTTTCCAAATATTTTGTGAAATGACATTATTTTTGTATTCCGTGGGCCTTTTAATGCGCTGTTTAGAAATATAAAAACTACCGTTATGTTTAGGTGGTACTGTTTTGTTAAAATTTATATCGAAATTTAAACTGGAGCCTATTCTTAAAGTTTGCCGGGTAGTTACACTTTTTCGTGACCTTTCAGTTACTGATTGATTGATTTTTGGTTTTGTAATTTTTTGTTGAATAAGCTCTCTTCTACTAGAAGCTGCTTCACATAACGGTTTAAAGATACATGCCGAGATAGATTTGCGATCTGCTTTGTTGCAATCACATATTTTTTTATCATAAACTAGTGAATAAGGTGTGACTGGGTCAACTTGTGATATATAATTAGCTGGTCTCATAGTTTGTACTGAACTTTGCTTCACAAAACACCCGCACGCGTTCGCTGATGTTGTTTGAACAGTTTTCCTTTTTTTATTAATTCTAGGTCTTTGATCCTTTTCATCGATCGAGAATATTTTACCAATTTTATTTTTGCTTATTGCTGCTGCTTCTAAGTTTTGTATTAAATTTCTATATATTTTCTTACGCTTTTGATTAAATGCATTCATATTTTTATATTTATTACCTCTAAAAGGAGTAAGTCGTTTAGAAAATTCAATATTAAAATTGAGGTTGGAACCGATTCGTACAGTTTTTTTTAAATGGTTTTCGTTATTGTTAGGTGATACTGTTTTGTTATAGTTTATATCGAAATTAATACCGGAGCCTATGCTTAAAGCTTGTCGGGAAGTTACACTTTTTTGAAAAATTTCCGTTACAGATTGATTGTTTCCTGGTTTTATATTTTTTTGTTGAATGAATTCTCTACAGCTAGAAGATGTTTCTAATATCGGTTTACAGATACAGCTCGAGACAGATTTACGATCTGCTTTATTGCAATCAGATACTATTTTATCAGAAACAAATGAAACAGTTTCGATGGGGTAAATTTTTGATGTATAATGAGCTGGTTTCATAGTATGCACACCTTAGCTTCATAAAACACCCACACGAGTCTGTTGATATTGTTTGAACAGTTTTGTTTTTTTTATCGAATCTTGTTTTTTGCTCCCTTTTATCGCTTGATAATTTTTTGCTTATTTTATTTTGGCACTTGCATGTATCTAAGTTTTGTACTATTTTTCTATACATTTGTTTATGTTTTTTATTATCTGCTTTCATCTTCTTATCTTTTTTACCTCTAAAATGAGTGACCTTGTTTCCTTTGGAAAAATCAATATTAAAATGAAAGTTAGAACCTATTCGTGCAACATTTTTGCAATGGATTTTGTCATTCTTAGTTGGTACTGTTTTGTTAAAGTTTATATCGAAATTTAAACCAGAGCTTATGCTTAAAGCTTGCCGGGTAGTTACACTATCTGGATTTTTTTCAGTTACTGATTGATTGAATTCTGGTTTTATTACTATTTGTTTAATAAGCTGTCTTCTACTAGAAGTTGCTTCTGAAATTAGTTTACAGATGCAGCTCAAGGTAGATTTGCGATCTGCTTTGTTGCAACCACATACTTTTTTATCATAAACGTATGAATCAGATTTGACTGGGTCAACTTGTGATGTATAATTAGCTAGTTTCGTAGATGTTCTCCTGGGCCTTAGTTTCATAAAACACCTACATGAGTCCGCTGATATTGAGTTAACAGTTTTCTTTTTTTTATTGATTTTTGGTTTTTGATCACTTTTATCAATGGAGAATATTTTACCAATTTTATTTTGGCACTTGCATGATGCTAAGTTTTGTACTAAATTCCTGCTCATTTTTTTTTGTTTTTG